TCCTCCTCCTCTTCTTCCTCTTCCTCTTCCTCTTCCTCTTCTTCTTCTTCTTCTTCTTCTTCTTCTTCTTCTTCTTCTTTTTCTTCCTCCTCTTGGAGCAGACATTGACGATAACCTGTTGTCTGTTTTACTGATCAGCTCTGTTTTTATTCATTGTGTTTTTTGTTGCAAAGCTGTTCAGGCCATTTGTGTATGTTGTTCTGTCTTCCTCTGATCTTTCTCTCCATCTTTCCACCCAGCAGCAGTTTCTTTTGTCCATCTGATTGAGTTATGAGGCCATAGAATCTCAGTAGTCTCTTTCTGATGGTTCTGATGATAAATCTTTCACAACATGCCATTTGGATCACTTTTCTATTTGTTTTTGTCTCTGTTCATGAGATTCTGAGTTTTCTCCATGGGTGGTTGATAGGTGCTCTGGTGTGGTTTGCTTCTTCTTTTCTATCAAATATCTATCGTCATTATCTCCCCTCCTTCTTTTTTGTGTTTGTTACTCTCTTGTAACACCTCTAATCTTCGGCACTTATGTGACCTTATTGTGTTGCAAGTGCAGTAAAACTCTTACTAAAACTAAAAACCTCATTAAACTAAGTAAAAGAATCTCAGTTGTCTCTTTCTGATGGTTCTGATGAGAGATGTTTCACAACCTGCTATTTGGAGCTTTACTCTTTATTTTTCGGCTCTGTTCATGAGATTCTGAGTTTTCTCCTTCCTTACCACATTTCAGTGTGTTGTCTAGTGTCCCGGGGCAGCAGACAGAGGAGGAGGAGGAGGAGGAGTCTGGCAGCGGCCTGGAGGACAGTGACGGAGGCAGCAGCCACATGGAGGAGTGGGTCAAGACGCTGGAGAAGCTGGACATGGGCTCGGGCTCGGAGATGTTGAAACAGATCGGCCTCAGCCTCAGGCAGAGGAGCGTGCTCAGTCTGGAGCGCTCGGTCCCAACGGCTGACCGGCCCTCCCTCCTCGACCTGCCCTCCTCCACCGTGCAGGGGTCAAGGTCGTCTAAGCCGGCCGTCTCCCCTAAGAGGTCGCGGAGTGCGTGCCGCGTTAATGAAACCCCTGACCCCACGAGGAGAGAGAACAGCAGCGCTGGTCGTAATCATCGCTTGTCTCTCGTGGGAAACAACAACAGCAACAATAACAACAACAACAGCATCAGCAACAAATCTCGTGGCCGTGGCGGTGTTGCCGCAGCGTCCCCCCA